TGCATTGTTGCCCAAATTTGATCACACGTATCTCTTACAATGTCTCTTATAGTTGTTGCTCCTATTCGATATGTAAATGAGAGGGTATTGAAGCTGTTGCCAGTTGCCAGATATCTGTAAAAATATATTACGTATTACATAAAAATATACAGAGTGTAACAGAAACAAACAAACAATCAAATCCTTCCTCTTTATAATATTAGTATAGAAGTATGGATAAACTTCAACTTTTGTAATTATTATCTGTTAAATAGATAATTAAGTCTACATTTTATTGCATACATATACAGGTGCAGAGGTCCAACAAAAATGGCTCAACTTGAGAACCTGCTTTTCAAGAGAATTGAAGGCTCAAAGAACAACATCCGGACAAGCGGCAAAGAAACGTCGAAAATATCGATATTTTGAAAAGTTGCTATTTCTAAAATCTTCATTAACAGAACGACCCACTGATGGTAATCTCGATTCCACTGTAGCTGAAGACGAAGATGAGACTGAAACCTCTGACATTATGGGCTCAAACGTACCTAAACAACAAAATAAAAGGAACAAAAAAGTTACCTCACTTCCGAAGTTTGAAGAATCTTTGTTAAACATACTAAAAGATGATTTAGACGAAGACAAACATTTTGCTCTCTCTTTAGTTCCTACGTTACAGTCTATGACAGACGACGAAAAATTTCAAGCCAAAATTGAAATACTTCAAGTATGTCGAAGGATAAAAGCCAACAGACAACATATTCAATCTTCCGTAACACTTCCTTCACGTAACATTTTGTTACAGCCTTCAACAACCAATTTCATACAGGATACACCAACAAATTTAGTACATCAAATAAGTCAGCAACCTGGTTACTCTGCATTTGCTACAACTCATATTGATGTTTCTAGACCTGAATATATCCGACAATGCCCATCTACAAGCTCCCGACATTCTGCGGATAGTGTGCAAAGTTTCATATCGACTTTCACACCTTCTCCGCACAGCCCTCTACTCGACTTGAACTAAAATTCCATTTAAGCTTTACAAACTCAATTATGTACTGGCTGTAATTACATATTATTAAAATAAAACATGTATTTTCATTTATTACTTACCTTAAAGTAACACTAAGTCTCTCTTCTACTGATATGGCGCATCTCCATATTGTATCTTGGCGTTTTATAAAAGGAGCCACGAATGAAATTATTTCATTAAACGTTTCTTCACTCATTCTATAATATTTGAAAAACTTGTCTGGGTGCTCTTTTAGCTTAGAATGTAACGTATGAAATATTCCACTAGATAATCTATCACTGAGTACAGGATGAACACAGTATCTTCTTTTTCTATCTCTCTTAAAATTTCTATAAAGCAAAGCACAGAGTAAAACTTTCTTGTTAATAGACATTGTTTGTAAAAACCTTGACTCGAGCGTTGCTGAATGCTCCGATTTGAGGCGAAAAAAAAATCGATAGTATGCGCACTTCCATCAACTAAACTATTTAGTTGAGTAGGAATCACGAAAAGTACACAACTCGACGAAACAGTTTTGTCGATACAACAGTTGTATGTATGCGCTAGCCCTAATAGACATATAAAATTTTATAAAATTCGATTCGATCTACTGCAAGAACAAGAAGCTGAATTTAAATCAAAATATAGGTATTCCTGATCTACTACGTTTTATATCATTGATATGGTAAAAAAATGATTTAGCTGGTGGTGATGCACGAGGTGGTCATATACCACCTCATATTAAAGTATTAACAGCAATAGGAACATGGGCCCGCCGCCGCGAGCTATGTACACTTTATTTTAAACCACATCTTTCACTGTTAGTTTTGTTTTAAATTTATAATGAAATTTATTGCGATCTTAAGAGATTCAAGACAATGCTGGAGACCTAAGTGGAATGAGTCAACCAACAATATCGCTTGTAAGTGAACAAGTAGCTTTGGCACTAGTGGCATTTCGTGCTCATTGGATTAAAATGCCACGAACTGATCTCGAGCAGAATAATGTAATAGCAGGGTTTTATTCAATATGTAGATTAAGGTAGGTGATTGGGACTATTGACACATATTAGAATTCCAAAAGTTTGTGGTAATATCGGACAGTACTATATACGAGGGTCAAACTGAAAGTTCTTAGAACTGGCCACTTATAAACAATATAATAAAAAAATAATTCTAAAATTTGAAAATATAACTCTTTGCCAATATTACTGAGTATATATTTCATTCATTTGTCATTTGTTTTACGATTTGGCGGCAAATTGAAAATTGTCTGTGTCACGTCATCATGAATTTAACACGAGAAAATTTTCGTGCAATGATTTTTTATGACTTTCGATGTCATTTAAGTCAACAAGAAAGTTATGATAGACTACGATTGGCCTTTCACGATGAAGCCCCATCTCGTGCGACTGTTTACAACTGGTTTAATGAGTTTAAACGTGGTCGCACTAATCTCACTGATGATTTACGTGAGGGACGGCCTTCTACGGCGACGACTGAAGATAACATCTGTGTTGTGCGGCGTATGATAGAGACTGACAAAAGAGTGACCTATCGACAGATTCGGACAAGCTTAGGCATCGGTATGAGTCAAGTGCACAAAATCCTCCACGAACATTTAGCGGTCAGGAAGCTTTGCGCCCGGTGGATACCTCATAATTTGACTGAGGCTCAAAAACTCCATCGTGTGGATTGGTGTCGTAAAATGATTGAAAGATTTAACGGAGGTGACTCAAATGCTGTGTTCGACATACTAACAGGTGACGAAAGCTGGATTTACTGTTATGATCCTAAAACCAAAAGACAATCTGCTCAGTGGGTGTTTCCTTTCGAGGAGTTGCCAACTAAAGTGAAGAGAGATCGAAGTGCGGGAAAAAAAAATGGTGGCCTCGTTCTTTGGAAGGATAGGTCATTTTGCAACAATTGTGTTAGAGGATCAAAAAACAGTTTCTGCAGAATGGTACACTACCAATTGTTTGCCACTTGTCTTGGAAAAAGTTCGAGAGAAACGACCTCGCAGTAGGATCCTCCTTCACCACGACAACGCCTCGTCGCACACCGCCAAGCGAACGATCGACTATTTGGCGACATCAAACGTTGAATTACTGGGTCACCCGCCGTATAGCCCCGACCTCGCGCCTTGTGATTTTTATTTATTTCCAAAAATTAAAGAAAAACTTAAAGGGAAGCGATTTATGAATGCTGAAGAAGCGGTGGCTGCGTATCGCGATGCCATTGAAGAGACCCCTAAGGACGAGTGGGCAAAGTGCTTTTCCCAGTGGTTCCATCGCATGCAGCGGTGTATTGACGTGAATGGACAATATTTTGAAAAGATATAATAAAACTAATAACTGGCTAATGTAATCAGTTTTTAGAAATAAGAACCCGCAATACAGTAGAACGTTGCTTTAGAGTGTTGAAGCAAAGATTTCGTTGTTTACTAAATGGATTTACCACAAAATTAGATAATACCAAGCTGTATAAGTACCCTTTAATGAAAATTTTGAGCATTTCTCTAAAAATTTTCATTTCAATATGTCACATTCCTACATTCCTCGATATATTGCCATTTTTATTGCATGTTCCTCTTCGGTTTAAAGGTGAACGTGTAAGGCTGGCTATGAGCAATCCAGCCCGCACAGTTTTGATTTCAGATTTGATTTTGACCGACTTGACAAATCGGACAATCAGTGCTCATAGTCACCCACGCTAATTTCCCAATTTTTGACACGATAATTTATATTTCGTGTTTAATAGTCATGTTGTCGACGAAAATAATAGACTCGTTGGTGATGGTAAAGCGCGATTGCTTCGGTGCAATAATTTAAAATCATTAGCGTTTGTTCTTTTCTCTGGACGTAGAAGCGATGGTTCCCAATTTTAATACATAAATTGCGCGTTTAATTAGACGGGTTGCAGTTCATCTACGCAAGCGCAAGGCGGAAGCGATCGAAACAACCGATACAAAATTGGGATTGCAACCAATAGTTAAATTAGAAAGATTAGATATCGATGTTCCATAAATCTCATCGAGAAAAGTTAATCGCCCAGTGAAAAAAAAAGTTAGAGAAGACTGAGAAATTTGGGTAATTTCTTAATAATGGTTTCTACAAACCGACATACCTTTTCTAAAGCTTATATTTTAGTGCAAAAACAAATTGTATTATAAAGTATGTTTTTTGTTTTTCTCAAGTTTTAAAATATAGATGCAAATACACTTCGTACTATTTATTTGGTGAATTAATAATGGTAACATCGGCGGCAACATCTATTCGATTTTTCTTTGATGTATGGTGCTTTGTGTACTTAAACACCTTTAATTTGAAGATAGAACTAGGCAATTTCAAACTAATCCAGACATAAATAGAGGCGGATTTTAAAACCTCACAGCCCCGATTCCAAAAGCGACTCGTTACCTCGCCAGGCTGCTTGCAGCCCGAGGCAACCAAGCGAAAGCTAGTCTTTATATATATAAAATTTCCAGTGTTACCGAGAGACTGACTGACAGACAACGTGCAGCCGAAAGTACTGAGCGTAGAAAGTCGAAATTTGGAATGAAGCACTAAGAAATTTTTGATGGATTTTTGAAAATTCCACTCCCGAAGGGGCTACATTGGAGGATGAAAGTTTTTATTGATTTTTTCATTGCTGGATTTAAAACTAGACCACGCGGGCGAAGTCGCGGGCAATAGCTAGTATTTTTATACATTGTAAATAAACAAGTTACAAACGTTATTACCTATATAAAATATTTTACATACCTTTCTTTTAATGGCTTGTCTTTCGTATAGGTTTTGAGGTAAACTTATACATATATAAAATAAATAAATAAAATATAATATTTGTTAGCATCTGAACAATATTTACAACCATTGTTTTTATCGCGGCGAAGACGGCCGAATTACGGTCTACATCATTTTTACGTCTTGGAAAGTTAAGCTGAAGAAATCTCCTGTACAGTATTTTTTACGACATATGGATACCATGTATTAACATTTCAGCTAGTGAAATCTGGGATGAGTATACGAAAAGCAAGCAAGGAATGCCAGCTAAAATATCCGACGGTCAGATTGTATGTAAACAAATTTAAAATAAATGATCAGACATGCAACCTCTAACTATATACAATGTTGCTGAATGTGTTGCTTCTGCATATATGACATGTATAACTCCGATAAACATAGTAAATGTGTTCAAGAAAACTGGAATATTCCCATTCGATTACTGCATTTTTATGGATGTTGATTTTATGCCTAGTACTGTAACAAATAGGTCACAGGTCGTACAAGAAATTGATGATAAATCAAGAAAAATCTTCCAAGTCTCCTTCTATCATTGAGAGTTTTAGTTCTAAAAATCGAGATAACGATATCACGCCACCGATGATTGAAGTTTCTGATTTTCGAGCTTTATTATTAGATCATGAAGGTGTTGATCTGCAAGTTAACTCGACAAAAAAACCAAGATGACGACACCAAAATGCTAATGATTATTTTTTATTGATTAAAAAAACGTTGATTATTTCAATCGAGAATATAAGTTAGTATATTTAGTGGCTACATAATTTAGAAGAAATTACTTTAACATAATTATTAATGTTAAGTCAACATTTAAATATGCTAAACAATATAAGACTCATTTTCATTCCACTTATACTGTTTTTTATTTAATAAACTAATAAATCATAAATAGCGGTTAAATGTGTACACATTGGTTAACTGTAGCCACACCCTGTGGTTAATAATGTAGGGTGGATACACTTAGTCAATCTAAATTTAAAAAAAAACTCACATATCCAAAATATATGATGTACATCCAACAATGTCAATGTCAATTCATGTTTTTCTTTGTGGTGTACAATAAAGTGTTTATTCATTCATTAAATGTTTTTAAACTCACACGTTACGATAAGGCAATCGAACTTTCGTGGCGAAGCCACATGATAATGTTCATGATTAAGCCTTATAGCCTTATCGCTCATTTCGTTTGGTTCATTTGGGGTGGCCGTCGTTGTGATAATCGGTAGAATTAAAATTCCAACGAGTTATAACAAGACGTTTACCGGGCTTTCTTTTCGCATTCGTTCCGAGTTACTAGCGGAGTAAATATATTCAAAATAGAGTAGCAAAGTGAATTTTTGGTTTTTAAAACTAAAAAAAAAATAGACAAATAAAAATCTCATTTTTTTACGAAGAAAACGAGGAGTGTGTGCAGATTGTGGATTCGAACAACGAACAAGCAGAAACAAAGAATTTACAGGACCAGAATACGCAATATGTTCTGGAAGTGGAACCCGTAGACAAGAAAAAAAAATACAAAGGGGAAGACCTTAGTGACGACTCAGAAGAAAGCAATTACGAACAATCCTTTAATAAAATGGTTAGAGAACTTCTGGCAAACAGACTCGACATTGAGAGTAATGAAACCTTTTCTAAAATTAATAAACGACGCCGCACTGAAGACGAAAAATATGAAGCTGTTCAATGTGAGTCAGACACTACAAAAAATAATGAAGGAATTTTTCATATATATGAAGACAGAAAAGAAGAACTTGACCGATTGTTCCTTCGTTACTTTCGCGGAGTGGTGTTTAAACGACAAATTACCCATGATATATGGGAAACTCCAATCGATGGTCTGGGAAACAGATATAGAAACAACATTATTCGACTACTACTCAACAGTTCTCATGGAATGGAAGTAAAGCACAAAAAACAGGAGGAGGAGAATATAGTATACAGGGAATTTTCATAATTGCCGAACACGAAAACCATCTCCATTTCATGCACGACTGTGCATACTCCGAATCGGCATGCAAGTGCATCCACGTCCAAAGATTACGGGAGCACATCACAAACGCCACAGACGCCGAGGAAATCGAAAGAAGGGCATAAGTTGCTTGGGCAAGCGACGTTCCAGAAGGAGAAATCAGCCTCTATGAAGCGGAAAATGGTCAATTTAGAAGAGGACGAGGAATATATGTATTACAAATAAGAACTGTAGAACAGGAAAGCGAACCGGAGATTAGAATGACAATTCCACGAAAAAAATGCTGCAACAAACACAGGTTCCGGAAGAGAAAGTGTCTGAAGAAGAAATTCCGAACGACGAGAACTCATTAGTGACAAGTACTGGCAAAATGTCACAAAATATTTTAATAAAGAAAGACGACGGATTTATCAATATATCGTCGTCGGGAGAGCGTGGGTCGATGCTGGTGAAGTTAGAGCTCTTCCCATTCAAAGATTGTGTTTGATTAAACAAAAACTAGTACCTAGTAGATTTCTGGCGAGGATTCTCTTGTGTACAAACTGGCAACGTGAGGAATCATTTACGGATTCTATCTTTTTTAAGTCCACTACATTTCACTGAAATACTCTTCTTATAAACTACATTATAATAAACTTCTTAGTTATTAGAGAACTATAGTTTCAACGTTTAGATATATCAACTATGTGACATCAGAGTAGCTTTATAAAATAAATTTACTAATAATTATCTATTTTATATTATATCATTCAATACTTTATAACTATAATAGGATAATAATGTCGCCTCAGTAGACGAAATAATAGTAGCTGGTTTTGCATGGGAAGAACCAAGTCCATCGACATCCAGAGTGAATGATTCCAGTGGAAGGCGTCATAATTTGTGTGCCGAGGAGGTTCAACTGCAGTGGAACCATTTAAAAATATTCTCGACCTTAGGTGGGTTAATAATGTTATTTTTATGTTAATCTAAGTTAGCTGATAATGTTTCGGATATTATTGTTTGAAATTTCATTGTATAAAAAAAAAGTAGAGCATATTCGTCCCTTAAAGGCCGGCAGCGCGCTTGTAGCCCCTCTGGTGTTGCAGGTGTCCATGGGCGACGGTAATCACTTACCATCAGGTGAACCATCTGATCGTCTGCCCCCTATCCCAAAAAAAAAACTACTACTGTGCCATGTGCCAAAAAAAACTGTACTGTGAAATTATATTTTTTACAGGCACTGTTGAGCAGTGTATTGAGTTTGCTGAGCATCTTGGGTTATTGCCTATGATGAAAATGTGCATATACCACAAAAAGCCTATGGGTATAGAAACCAGTGCAGGCCAGGTGGAACAATTTCGCTGTAGAAAAGGCAAATGCCGTGTCATTGGAACATGGTTCGAGAATGTGCGTTTGCCATTAACAATTATATTTCATATGATGTATTGTATAGCTCTGATAATACATATGAATTAGTGAGGCCGGAAACCAGCGTTATAGAGATGTAGTTTTATCACAAGCAACAATAGCCGATTGGTTCAACTACTGTGGAAGCAGTAGTTGTATATGAATTAGAGCATAATGAAGATAGAGAAAAAATTAAAGGTCCAGCAATGATTGTGCAAATAGACGAGTCCAAATTTTGGAGGCGCAAATATAATAGAGGCCGCAACATAGAAGATTGTTAAAGATGGGAGTGATAACTTGCAGCTGGAAGTTTGCCCTAACAATGGGCGATGCGCAGAGTGCTATTACCATTTATAAAAAAACCTGTTCAGGAAATCATTCACACCGACTTTTGGAAAGCCTATGACTGCCTTCAGGAAAATGGCTATATTCACAAAAAAGTAAACCACAGTGACCCCACTAACAAATTTGTGTCATCAGATGGGGTACACACACAGCGAATTGAATCGCATTGGAGAGTTATGGAGAGACTAATCAGTAAAGAGAATTATACAGAAAATCATAAAGATCCATTTGAGGAATAATGTTTGGTCCCACTCCCCCTCCCCCCACCACCACCATTCAGTGAGAAATCATTAACTAATATAAATCAAAGTTTTCTTTATACAACATTTATATCTTTAGTACTAAGCATTTTCTAAAGCGGGGGAGGTGTACCGGGGGTTTGGAAAACAGGAAATAATAGATTGGTTGATCGAAAAAACATTTCTTTCAACGAAAGTGACACCAGAGCACATTTGCTTATAATTGTGCAATCTGTCAAAGATAGCTATTTAAAATATGTTACCGATGTGATCGCAAAAGAGGCGGGGGTAAAATTACTTAATATTTACTCATTTATTGTCAATATATGTAACATAGAATAGATGGCATAAATATAAACATGTGAACTTTAAGAAAATTATATGTATTATATATCCATGTCTACAGTTTTACGATTGCCTCCATATCATTGTGAGCTTAATCCGATAGAGCTTGTGTGGGCATACTTAAAAGGATATGTTGCTCGATACAATAATACATTGAAACTGTCGAAAGTAAAATCATTTTTTAACGATGCTATAAAACGAATAGCTCATGATAAATGGAGGAATTGTGACGAGCACGTAAAAAAAAAGAGATGAAAATGACGGGACTGTATCACCATATGAACAGAACTGTGGGTAATTTTATTATAAATGTCTCAAGTTCTGATACTGAAAAATACAGATACAGATGTATCACTCGATTAGGAAATGCTAATGTATTTGCCATTTCCTAATCAAGTGATGATATAGACGTTATTTTTATAATTTGTTAAAAAGAAATATTTTGAAATAAAGACAATGCATTAAATACTTTTGTTTTTCTATTATTATAGTTGTATTCAACATGATACATGGTGATTCGATAAACATGATGTAAAACGCACAACGCACTGTACAGTGGCAAACAATACAAATATGAAATATCTAGTGAAATAGAAATAAAGCTTATAAACCATAAATTATGACGGGAAGTATCCTTTTCTATGTAATACAAATAAATGTGTACTATTTAAAAACTACTTCGTATTTTTTATGCTAAATACTCAGAAAAAGAAATGAGATTAGTAATATAATGCCTTCCCCATAAAGTTCGTGAACTTGCATATCTTATATGGTTGCGTCATCGACAACGTGCAGTGCAGTGACAAATCAAAATGCCTCGATACACACCACGCGAATATGCTGACATGCATTTTGTTTATGGTGAATGCAGAGGTGTCGGCAGAGAAGCAGCTTGACTCTATCGGGAGAGATATCCCGATCGAAGACATCCGGACCATAGAGTTTTTGGGAGAGTGCATAACGCATACACCGAGGGGAGGATACCTGGCACAGGTGTAGGAGGTACAAGTGAAGGACGACCACAAGTGCACTACGACGAAGAAATAATGAATTTGGTTAATGAAGAACCTTCCACATCGGTCCGTGTCTTAAGTCGGAGAACTGGCATATCTACTAGAACCGTACACAGAATTCTGAAAAGACATGAACTGTACCCATACCACTATCAAAGGGTACAGTCATTGCTGCCACGTGACTACACTTTGAGAGTGACATTTTGTAGACAAATGCTACGCAGGATACGGGAAGACCCGCAGTTTTTTAATAAAATAATATGGAGCGACGAGTCATCCTGCAAAAAAGATGGTTATTTGAATTTGCACAACCTGCATAGTTGGCAGCTCGAAAACCCGCATCTCATAAGACAAGATAAATCACAATATCAATTTAAAATAAATCTATGGACCGGAATCATTAACGGACAGATTATTGGTCCACACGAGCTGCCAGAAAATTTAAATGCGGAGAGGTATTTGAGTTTTTTGCCGACGCGACTTGCCGTCGCTTTTGGGAAATGTCGCCCCTGAAGTCCAAGAAGACATGTAGCTGCAAAACGATGGCTGACCCGCTCACTATGCTCTTGCAGTACGAGAGCACTTGAATACGGTGTATCAAAATAGGTGGATAGAGCGCTTAGGTCCAATATTGTGGCCACCGCGCTCGCCAAACCTAAATCCCCTGGATTTCTTTTATTGGGGTTGCCTAAAGGAAAAAGTTTATAAAGAACAAGTTACTAGTATTGAGCAATTGAGGACTAGAATCCAGACAGCAGCTAGAGAAATCAGCGCGAGCGGGTATGCTAGAAGGATTAAACGATCATTCATTCGACGTTGCAGAGCGTGTATCGCTGCAAATGGGGGCCATTTTGAACATTTTGTGTAATTTTAATATTGTTTAACAATGTTAAAGATTTTAATAAAATTATGTCTAGTATGAATTGTTTTATTTTGCTTTGGCCAAATCTCCGGAACCCTTGGGTAAAAATGGTTAGGTAGGTTATAGTACATTATCTGTTAAATCGAATCATTAACGGTGGACCACTATTTACGCCACACCCTGTATATGCCAAGCTCGGAATTCAAAGACTGTCCTGTACCACGATACGTTTAATTAGCCCCTTGTGTCGATATTATCCATATGATTTGTTCATTTTGACCATAATAACAGTGAATAACGAATTAAGATGGCACATAAACCAGGCTACACAGCAAAAATCTTTAATGAGCTTGTAACAAGTATTTTATTCTTCTTGCTCGAGTCTTAAATCATGTATGCTAGAATCATACGGTCGTAATAGAACTCCTTGCCTCGAGTTAACGTACCGTAGTAAAAGGACTCGATAGAAGGTAGACGGATATATTCCAATAACATCTACCCGCAAAACTTTAGCGCGAAACAGCGCCGGAACATCGAAACTCGATAGCAGTGTAGTGTTAGAAAAAAACCCGTTATTTGCCAACGAATCATGCATACGGATTGTTTTATGACCTCCGTAGCAGTGGTTCGCATGGCAGTGTCCATGGCGCCATCTTTGAATTCCCGGTTTCCATTGTCGGTAGCTTGTCTCGGGTCTAACTGTCATGTTACCTTCGTTGTCTCAGATTGACCATAATACGAGGGCTTCAGATGCTCATCTCGGGAATTTGAGGCGTATATGTGATGTAATCT